GCCGACGACCTCCTCCAATTCATCAAGTTTCTATCCGAGCTCACCGACCTCTCGTTTGCCAAGCTCGGCAAGACCGTCGAAGAAGAGACGACACACCAAGAGTTGATGGACACGATCTACAACCGGCGAAAGCAAGCGGAAGACGAGCTCGTGAGTCTTCGCGACAAACTCAGCGAGTTGCGCAAAGCCAAAGAAGACGAGACGTCGCACTTGGATATCCAGCTGCAAAAGCTCAAGGCTGAGCTCTCGACCATCAACAAGGTGACATGCGGATCCATACACGCGTATCGAATGACAGCGAACGTAGAATACCAACAACGAGCTCGCAATGATCCAGGCCCAAGTCAAAGAGACATTGGACAAGGCGTTTGAGAAGCAAAACATCGATATCCAAGCGCTGAATGAGCGCCACCTGCAGCTCACGCGCAAGCTCGAGGCCGACACGACCGAGCACCGCGACATTGAGGACGGACTGCGCAAAGCCAAATGCAAGATTGGCGTCGAAGTCGCGGGGACGATCGAAAAGTACGACGCTGAAATGACCGTGCTGGCGACCGAGATCGATACGATCCAAGCGCAGTACACAAAGGAGCTCAAGGAGCTCCATGAACTCTCCGAGCACTTTAAAAAGGCACGTCGTCGTCGTCTCCAACAACACCATGTGCATGCGACGACTAGATTGATGAGGAGCAACGGCGCATCGATGCCGAAGAGAAGGTGCTCGAAGCGGTCCGCGCCGAAGAGCGCCGGCAAGTCCAAGTACGCTGCCTTAGCGCATACCGAGACGCACGGTCAATCGTGTGTAGGTCTTGCACGACGCAGCAACCAAGATTCAAAAAGTGTTTCGTGGCAACGTGGTGCGGAAGGAGCTCGCGGCCAAGAAGAAGGGCAAGAAAGGCGGCAAGGGCAAGGGCAAGGGCAAAAAGAAAAAGTAAATGTGCGCTCTGTATAAACATGCGTTTGCGGCTACTTTGGCCGTCGCCAGCAAAGCGTCCAAGCACAGCTACGGGTCGTGCACGTGACGAGGAGCTGCCTTGGTGGGCCATGGCGCAATTCCGGCAGCGGTTCCGACGCAGCGGCTCGCAATACCGGTGGTCCTTTCCAGAAAATCTTTATCATCCGGATACAAGTGCTGCAACCGGACATTTACAGAACGTCGGCGGCGATGGCGGACCGCTTTGAGATCCTCGAGGAGACGTCGCATGCGCCCGAGCGCAAGGCCGAGGCCGAGGGCAACCCGGCGCTGGAGAAGGCCATGGACGAGATGAGCCTCGATGCGAAGGACGTCAAGCTCGCCTCGGATGCCAAAGAAGAGGGCAACAGGTACGACGACGACGACGACAGCCAGCGCTGGGATCTCATGGCACACGCAGCTTCTTCAAGGAAGGGCGGTACCTCGACGCGGTCGACTGCTACTCCAAGGCACTGCGGCTGTGCCCTATTGGTACAGAGTACGCCTACAACCGCGTACGTTTGCGAGCATTATTGCCGTCGTTACCATGCATGTTTGTAGGCTGTCTACTCGAACAACCGCGCGGCCTGCTTGTTCTACTTGGTACGGATCCTCTTTCTTCCAGCTAAAGCGACCTGCAACGTGCGGTATAGGGTCGGCAAGAAGAAGCGATCGAGGATTGCACGGTCGCGATCGAGCTTTCGCCGAATTACGTCAAGGTAGCGACGTCGCCGCCGCCGATGTCGACACTGAGCACTGTGTCTGTAGGCGTTCTTGCGCCGCGCGCAGGCCTACGAGAAGCTCGACAAGCTGGAAGAGGCGCTAAAAGGTAGTTGCACCTCGCAACGTTGTCCGACAGGTCCGCAATCGCTTCGTGTAGACGTCAAAAGCGTGCTCGAGATCGACCCGACGATTGCGTCGGCGCGCGACTCGGAGAAGCGTCTTAGCGCCCTCGTGACGGAGCGCCAAGAAAAGATGAAGGCCGAGATGCTCGAGAAGCTCAAGGGGTTTGGCAACACGATTCTCGGCAAGTTTGGTCTGAGCACGGACAACTTTCAAATGGTCCAGGACCCGGCCACCGGCTCGTACAACATCAACTTTACGCAAAACAAACAGCCATAAGCAGTCCCATGCATCGTCAACCATTGTCTTTCATTCTCGTTTACCATGTCTCTTCCCTGGTCACTCCACTTGTCTCGACGAGTTTGTCTTCATGGCCACCTCCATGCACCAGCGCATGGCGTCGCTGTCATGTCGACCCTGCATGGTCATCCTGTGTGCACGCCAGGCCGAGCGAGGTGCTGGAAGAGTCATCTGCGCTATCGGCCGTTGACGTAGTGGTCCGAGTAGCGATGTGATCGTGGCTAAAAATAGAAATTCGAAGCGTTCGAGTTTTCAACGGCGACGCCTTAAGTCGCGATGACGGACGCGCGCAAGGAGATGCGCCGACGATGGGCCACCGCGTTCTTCTCGCGCAAGCACGTGACGGTCCACGCTCTGCGGCAGTCGGGCGAGGCCGCGCCGGTCGCTCGCCGCAGCCGGTGGTCATGGCACCTTCTCTCGCCAATCGCTCGCTGGCTCTTGACCACGAAGCGCCGGTGGCCCTCCTTGCACGCGTATGCATCCGTGCACCCTCGGTCGCCCGACCCAGACCGTCTGTGCCCGACGCTGGACCGCAGTATCTATGCGATTCTCGAAGCGTCCGAGTGCGCCGACGACATGCGATAGGCGCGTTGTGGACTCTACCTACGCTTCTTATCTTCTTATTGCATACTCGTACTATATGCTACTACCTTAGTACGTCGTGTCGTAGTAGCGGTCGCCATAGTCGCCGAGGCCCGGAACAATGTACTTGGACTCGTTCAGCTCTTGGTCGACGGCCGCCGTGACGATCGTGACGTTCGGATGCGCCGCAAAGATGGCCCGAATGCCTTCGGGGCACGCCACGACGTTGGCAAACACAATGTTGCTCTCTTCGACGCCGGCTTGGAGCACCGTCTACGCACACTTGGAATCGCAACACAA